ACTCCAACAATTCGCGTTCGGCCGAGTGCAGTTCGAACGCAGATTGAGTGAACTGAAGGAAACGTGGGACGGGTTGGCCGGGACAAGCTGCTGCTGTGGCCTCGATCAAGGACTGATCGACCGAAGCGATTAGACAGTCCGATGCAAGCAGGTCAACAAACAGCGCAGCCTCGCGGTCGGATTGTACGAGGCCTGCGGCTTCCAGCCATTTAATCAGTGCTTCTTCCGTGAATACTCTGTCGCTCGGATGCATCGGACCGACACTACGATGGACGAAAAGCAAGTATAAAAATCTAAAATTGCAAAACCAACAAACATGCAAATCGCAAAAAGTACAGATCTTACATCACTGCACTGTTCATCCAGAGCAGAACTGAACGTGTAAGCCGCTTCATTATTTCAAACTGACCACCCTTCCTCTGAGTTCCTCTTCAAGCACAATCCTTAGCTTATTTATTGTTAACCAAACACTTGAGGGTATCACACTTGAGTTTTGCAATGCATATCTGCTAAACAATTCACGCTCTAGACACCGCACATGTGTAAGTCCGGCTCAGTTTTGAAGTGGTAAAACAAGGCGAAACAGTGTGGGTTGAATGACATACAAACATGCATATTCAGTTCTGTGAGAGAACAATGACTTACAAAGTACTGTACCGCGCCCTGCATAGGTTAACTGTTGAAGGGATCTGCACAGATCTGGTAAGAATGAACAAGAGAGACTTCTCCGGAAAGTAACGTACTTAGCTACAACATTCTATAGACAAATGGATATAGACGCAGTTTCGGCATGTTTCAGTTATTTACTAACTGATACAAGTAGGAAAAACAACTGCAGCAAACCAACAGATGACTTACCTGGATGATGCTTTCGATATGCTATCACAACAAGATGTCAGATGAAAAACAACAAATTGAAGACAACGTTCTTTCAGAGCAGTAGGATCGGCTATTTCGACAATGCTACCCATTGCGGTCGTATCCAGCACAGCACCAAAAATTCGGCGTAAATGACGTCCAAGACTGATAAAACGTTTGTAACGGGATGTCAAAGAAAAGAGGACAATCGAAGCGTAAGCAACAAAACACGAAACGAGGAACAGAAATAAGGCTGAAAATTTAGGCATTCATTTGAAGACAAAAGTTAAGAAACAACCAGTAAACGTGCAATGACATACAATAAATTTTCTCACATTGTTCGGAGGAAAAGAAACTGGGACACAATTTTAAGTACAAAAGAAGTGAAACAAGCCAAGGGAAAATTAGCGCCACCAAGCAGGTGCTGCGAAGAATGTGCCTTCATCATCACTCACAGAGTGGGGATAGCCAGCTATGCCAAGTTTTCAATTGTGCAGACGATGAACCATAAAATGAAGTGCTTTTACGCCAGATTTTCTGATGGCTCCACAGGTATGTGAGATTAGGACGCAAGATCGTCCAACGATCATAAGGACTCCAGAGATAATCAGCATACAAACAGGATTTAAAACAACTCACATGGGGGAACACATCAGCGTTAGTCAACTTAAGCAAGTGTTCAGAGTATAGTTGTTAGTATTACCGCAANTTACCGCAATGCGCAAGATTTATTGGCGTGAGAATCGACAGATGATGACCAGATGGAACAGCACTCAGTGTTAGTCGTAGGCGGTGACATGATGATTGATTTTAGTTTACGGTTGTGAAGACCAGTTCTAGTATCACCTGCAGGTGTCATTGTGAATTTTTCATGCCATTAAGCTTCACTGGATAACAAAACAAGGTGGGTTGATAAAATTAACTTATGACCAATTCAGAAATTGGAATTGTGTGTGAAATGCGAAACTGGTGTCCAGTTTATATTCGTTTTGAAGCAACTGACAGCTAGTCTTTTCATTCAAATAGCAGTAATCCATGGGTGGATAGATCGATGTGAAAAACGAACCATTTTTTGTTTTATTGCACACATTTGTATTGTATTGTATCGTAATAACTTCTGCAAGCATGAAGCCCACATTTCAGTTAAAATATATACAGTTTGGAGCAAGGGAGAAAATGAAAATAACAATGAAAAACGAGATTTAATTTCCAAAACTGCTACCAAATTCTGTGAAAACCTGTTCTTTGTTAATAGGAATACGGGCACTGTGGAGTCACGACATATGTTTATTCTACAGGGAACACAACGATATTGTGATCTAGTTGAGGAATGGGAACAACAGGAAGTTAGCGTGTAGCGGATGTGTAGAATCGATGAGAATCTTATGCGCAAACTTTTCACTTGCACTCAAATGACGTTCGCATAGGTTAGTTATCAACTCCTTTAGTGGGATTGACGAGACACGGCTAATTAGGGTCAATCCACGTGGAAGCAAATTAAAATCTTTCTTAAGGAGGTTGGGAAAAATAACAGGGAAAACACACTGGTACACAAAGTAAGAAATAATTGATTGTGAAATACGAAACTGAAGAAGTTTGCAGATATGAAAAGAAAGTCGTCGAAGCTTACTGATGAGGTCCAGTGAAGATTAGTATCAATTAAAACGCCCAGGTATTTATTACAGTTTACCCGGGATACTGATTCGGAACCAATCGATACCGGTTCAGATGATAAAGAAGAGCGTGATGGTGTAAAGAGACATTCGAAACATTTGGAGGGATTAATAGATACACCCGATGTGGCGGAAAACCGTTCGACGTTGTCAGAAAATTGTGAAAGACCAGAAGAGTCAAAGATGGCCTGACACAAGACCACATCGTCAGCATAATTGAAGAGAGAAGCAGGGGCGCAAACAGACAAGTCACTGATATACGTAGAGAATAAGTATGGGGAAAGAACTGCACCTTGGAGTAAACCAGAGCTGTTCAACAACGGTTTGGATTTCTTCCGACCTAACCTGGGACACTGAGTTCTCCCGGAGAAGTAATCGGCAAGCCAAGCTAATAATTGTCTAGGACAACCAAAGGTCTCTAGTTTATGAAGAAGAAGGGAACGGGGAATAGAATCAAAAGCAGATGAGTAGTCTAGAAACACACAACGGACAGATTTGGCAGAGTCACTCAAGGATTTGGTAATTTTATGTAAAA